AATAATTGCATACAATTTGAATATTATTTTTTCAAATTCTAAATAAAAAAATAACATCAATATTTGCAATTCTTGTTGAATAGCTTCAAAATGTTTGATTGCAATAAACAACTACTTTTTTAAAACAAATACAAATTTCAACTTCATTCAATGTTGCTATTTATATTCAATTTTGTTTTGAATGTTTAATCATATTGTTTGATATGCAGTTTTTCTTTCTTTTACTGCAATGGAGTTTTAATTTTTATTGATTTCATTGGGATTATGAACTGGATTTATAATGAATTTACAGACATCCGCAAATCATGAAAATTTTTCAATTTTTTAAATGAAATTGCCCTTGAAGTGTATCCAATTTATTTAGTGATTGATTTAAGTAAATCTTTGATTGTATTTTAAAAAATTAAAAAATTAAAAAATTCTGCTTCAAACTGCACTTGAATACTCAATTATAATACTATGTGTATTCTATCCATAATTATGGAAAAGTTCAATCTGATTAGGCTTTAGATTCAAATGTCGTGTTTACCTTTTTCACCAAATGCGCTAAGGAGCGGAGAAAAAATAGATATATGGCTTTATCCCTTTAGGTTTTTTTCTCGTCTAAAATTATGACCTGACCGGAAGTAGTATGCTCGTAACCCGAGAGCCCTATGGAGTAATTAGAGCTTACGATGACGCTTGACCTTTTGCGAAATTTTGTGAAGGATCACTTTATCAGGTATCGAATCGAATACTTTTCGAAAGTTTCCCTCCACAACCCAAGGTGTATCTCATTACAAATCGAATGAGTGATATGAATCATAAAAAATATCCAAAAGAAAAACTCTCTTTAACTTGTGCAGGATATTCAATCAACCTTTTTTGATAAAAACATCTAATACATAAAAAGATGATGTTTTTGCATCTGAATCAACTGTTATGATATGTGCTCAAATTTAAACTCTTGGAATGTCTGACGGTTTGTTGACAAAATTTTTTTTAGCTGAACACATTAAACCCATTTTCATTTCTTACATGTCTTTTTTAAAACTGAAAGCTAAAGTACTGGAGATATTCATTCTTTGTGTAACTTATCTCTTACATACATCTTGGTACAAAACTATACATAGTAATCTACATCCCTATATAAGGTTTTATTAATGTTTCATTGCAAAATGATCTAGCTCACCACGATAATGTAAAAGAAAGCACATCTTCCTAGAACTGTCAAAACACAAATCCAATCTCAACCTTTTCTTCATATATAAAGAAGGTTATTTTCCTGTTTGTAGATTTTAGATTCACAGTTTATACTTAAGATACACCTAACGACGCGTAAAAAATGAATTTTCTTATTATCGTGTTATGATAGATGTCTTGGTTACTTTCCAAACTTTCTTTCAATTCGGATGTTTCAGCATAACGAATGACCCTTCATCATAAGGTAATAAAATTTCAAAAAGCTTTCAAGTTGCCACCACACTCAAATTTATAACCATCTTCACGTCTATATCATTGTGATACTGACATACTGCCCTGTGAGTTTCACTTGTGTTCAAATTTACATCAAAATTCACTACTTTCATTTAACAATAATTGTGAGATTCCGTCCTTAACCAAATTCATTTGAGTATGTATTCTTGCTATAATATTTTGAAAATGAAAATACTGTTATCTACGCAAACTTGCTCTTTTCTACCATTATTACTCCCAGTTACTGTACCGTTACATAAACATGTAGCTACTGCTGACAGATTTGGCAGATCTTTGGGTTATTTGATCAAAATCCTGTTATTCCAAGTGAACTTGTCAATGTCACTTTGCATCTCTTTTATGTTGAGCAAAATCTCATGCCCTGCGTGATTGCAACGTTGGCTTATATTCTTCTTCTCATTCGTCCTTTTGTTTCATCCTTTTTTTTCAGTCGGACATTTTCTCCATTCGTGTGACTCCACTTCATTGCATCAGGCAAAGAATGTTTGGTGCATCTACTTGAAAGGGACTGTAGTCATACATGTCTTTGCACATCAACTTGGTTAATGCGCCGCTTCAATTAACCCACCTCATCCTCGAGTAGTTCATCTTCCTTTTCCACGGGTGTAAAACTGTCCTGCTGCCATGGATCTTGGCATAGGATGTCTACACCTCTTACACTTACTTTTTAATCTCTAGCCTCTCCTTCTTGGACTGAATCACACTCTCTGTAAACTACGCAACCTTCTTTGACTAATCCTGTTTTTACTTGATCCATTTGTTGAATTACCTCCATTAATTAGTCGTACTCTTGGAAATCCCACCCACGAATATGACTTGGAGCATATCTCCAACTTCCACTAACAAGAAAACAACCACATTTTCCAACTTCCACACCACATCTTCCATTGTTGCCATGAGTTTGGTTGGCATTGGGTCCTCCATATGATTTGGCTCATGTTTCTTTGATATTGGTAATAAATTTTGGATTACGCACTAGGTCTAGCGTAACCACATAAGTGCGACAAGGATAAATTCATTCCAAGACTCATTGTCTCGCCTTAATCGCCACATTTGCGATGGAGTATGAGTCAGTTTTAGCTGCAGATGTCTCATGAAACTGCAGTTAGTAGACCATTATCATCCCATAAGAACGATGTGGAACAGCCGGTGACTAAAAAACCTCCCCAGGTTCTTGTTCAACACTTTTCGTCGAGGTGGGGTCTGGAATGTCGTGCTGTCCTTCCAACACGTTCGATCTGTAATATTCGCCATATACGTATCTGTCCAGATCTCAATTTGATCCAAATTCTTCAGAAAGAATAACAACAATGATCAGATCACGAGGAAGAAGGATTCGTTCAATCTTGCACAGTGAGCTACTCATTCTAACGACTATTTATACTCACGGAGCTTGAGTGTGACACTACTCATTGTATCGAAAGCTCAACAGTCTTTGTTCTCCCGCGTTGGCAGCAGACCTAAAGAGGAGATGTAGGACAGGTGTCACTGTCAGCAATAATCATCTCTGTTTGTAGTGTAGTTTGTGCGTATCTGAAGTAGACGCCGTATTTTAGACTAAATATTAGAATGTTAATTATGACTCAGTGATTAGTGCAGGATTTGTGTAGATTCTTCTATCCTCTTTAGATTTTCGATGAGCGATGCCGGTGTGTCCCAGCTGGCCACTTTTCAAGTACTTTTTCTTCCATCCCTCTGTTACATTCACCTGAATAAACTTGGGGGCTTTGGCACTTTACAGAAAATAGATAGGAGAGTCTCCAAATCTTACAACATGTCACTTGGAAATACAAGCTACTAGTCAGTAGACTAGTAAGTGTCCGAGAGAGCATGAATCCTCTTGTACCAAAGGGCGGATTATTTTGTCCTCTGATGGTTGCTTACAAGTTTTAGAGCATGCAGCCATTTTCGCTGAACATGTCCCATATCTAGAGGGCAAATATATCAACGCGGCGCTGCAGATTGAAGACCATTCGGCTCGACTGCGACAAACCAAATATAGCGGAGGTTGACAGACAATCCGGATGGTTAAGTGGTCCAGACTCCATAGAAGTTATTGTCATGATCGGCATCTTATTACCAAGCATTGAAATTTATGATGGAAACTGCAAAAAGTCCCGTCTTAGGGGAAGATGATGTCCGAGAGGCCGTGAGCTGTTGTCTACTGAGTGGTTCAAAACAGGTCGAATCCAACTACTTAGGAACTAGACCTACTGATTTGAGTACCAGTATGTCTAGTCCTGACTAGAGGGAAAACACTTTTGTCCACAGCTGCAGCACTGCGATCCCGTTTTTCTAGATGTGATTGTGGGCTACAGAGGGGGAACCTAAGCTCAATTGCGCGCCCGGCCAGCCTATACCCCATAAACCAGAAAGTTGGCGTAAGCTGACGTCGTTTGAGCTTACTTCCATGCACCTGGCAGCAAAGAAGCTGGCATTCGTGGCTATGGCAGCATGTGAGCGCCTTTCACCTCCAGACCTCTACTTTTACCTTATGTTTTACAGGCAGAATGGTGACGGGAATGCTGTATACTTCATCTTTTGAATTCTGGTTAGCAGCTCCAGCGTTAGTAGACGCGTAAAACATTCTAGAGAGGATCTTGAGTGTTGGAGTTGTGATGCTAGATGGGGAAGAGAAGGAGAAGGAGAAGTTACTAACGCACAGACAGGCGAGATTGAAACAAAGAACGCGTGATCAGAGTACTGGTCATGATATAAGCGGAAAGAGATTGTCTGACATGGAAAGAAATGGTCGGGGAAGGCAGATCTCAGATTACTTATCATGACAAATTTGAGCCACTGATCAGCAGTAGTCTGAACCGACCGTCCTACGTTCATCCGTGCCCCTCGCCAAACCCTTACCAACACGAGAGTCTTGTGTTTGATGTTCGTCAGACCTAAGACTTTAACCTCAATGCAATATTACGTGCTTTTACAGTTCCGACGATCTGGATTATGTCAAGGCGATAAGAGATTCACCAGATTTGCGACAGATAATCATTCCAAATTTAGTGCCACGATATTGATCATGAGCAGAAATCTGTTTTGATTCTCTGTTTACTTCTTTCAAGAAAGCAGGTTGCCCGTCATCCCGCTGAGCAGCAGAACTCGTTTGCAGATCTTCATTCTCAGTCATCAGATGGATGATCGAACGCAGCTTGGTATTGCACAAATCTGATTGGGATGTCATTGGTCCGAACCTTCCTACAAATAGCTAGGACACGCTTTCGATATAACCCAAATATTGGCGATCTCTACTTATTCGGCTTCCGTCTCTGAAGATTTGTCAAGTTTGAGGCATCGGATTCATGCTTGGAAGAACGCCAGCCCCAACTCTAATTTGGAGCTTAGTCGAAATCCTCTTTTTACTCCAGTTTGCAGACCTAGGTACTGATAACTCTATGCTTATATCTACCAGAACAACTTACTGATACATGTATTATACATATAGAGCTTTACATATTGCAAAGCTTGTGGATGTCAAGATCTGCCATATGTCAATATAGATGTAAAGATCCTTTTTGCTTGCGTCTTGACATCGACAAGACTAGTAGTAGTGCTTGCAGTGAGCATAGGCAGTATTTTGAATTTCATGGCAACTAGTGTAGGAATTGCAGACATCAGCAGATGCACCTTTCTACTTCTCTAGACAACGGTTCAACTCCCATGTTAGAAAGTTGAAGGTGTCACATTTTACGAGTGAACGTCCTTTGTAATCACACGTGAAAGATCAACAAACCGCTAGTCCGGTACTTTGGGTTGGTTTTATGGTGAAAGTTGACTCAACGTATGCTGTTTTTTACAAATTTATAGATAAATAATGTGAAAGCTCTGTCTAGCACTATTGATCTTTATCGCAGCTTCTCCGTTTCCTAAAAGTCTTGATAATCGTGACTACGGTGGAGTGATTTGACCAGAACCTGGTGTTTCGGTGACAGTGATCATCATTGTCGATTCCAAAGCTTGTAGGAAGTGCGTGACTCTAGTGCGCTTGTATCTAGCTTATCTGTCACACGCATACAATATGTTAGAACTGGAGTAACATCATTCGTATAGTAGACAAGCATGACGACAGATAGAAGAGATAGGACATCCTTATTCTTATACGATATCATAAGTCTACGCGGAAGCTTCTGATAGATCAGGTTCAAAAGAAGTTCAGGTCTAAAGGATGGTTCACCTACATGTTCCAGTTCCTACGTAAAGCCAGTTTGTGAGCTAGCACTGTTACGACTTCTGCTGGACGGGGGTTAGGCCTGATACGATAACCTGTATATATGAGAAGCCAGCAGGTACCAAAAGCACTTCTGTTTGACGAATTTGGCAGAAATAAATGCTGAACGTCTGCGTGTAAACCTCCCATCCACAAGTGATATATCAAGTTCAGACCTGTAAACCTCTACCGGTCAATACCGCGAACACTGAAACTGTTGGTGATTCTCATTTCTCGTACCGATTTAAATTCGCAGACATAAGAGGTGGACAGCATGTCAGATTGGAAGGACGCAAGGTCAGTCTTCCTCATCTGGTTACTCATACGATGACAATAAAGGACGGAGAATCGCACGCACTTTTAAAGGCCAAGCGGATTGCATGAAGCCTGTAAAAAGAAGTTGAGAAGGAGTTCCTGGTGAACCTGATGCTGAAAATTTAAACATAACCATGAGTGTTTCCAATCTGGACAAGTAACATTACCTTTACTTTTCTCCGAAAGCTCCAGAAGCTCTAAATCTGAGTGTCTTCTGCCTTAGTCCAGAGAAATGTTGTCTTCCCTCACACTCACTCAATCTCCCGCGCTCTGTACTTTCATTTTTGGAATGCCATCGTGTTGTGGCAAAGATAGCTCAAAATATCCAGTACCGAGATGACGTTCGACGGATGAGAACCGCAAAGTTTCGATCTGCGTTCATCAGGTGATTTCACTCGGCCATGGACATCCGGTAGGACCTGCCACTGTTCAGATGGTGTGTCTTACAAGGACAGAAGGTGAGTATGGCTGATATGAAGAGATAAGCAACTCCATCATCGTGAATTCTGAAAACCGTGCAGTGTAGCTTACCTTCGATTCTGCATATAACTGAAGGCAGAGAAGAATTCAAGTGAACTGCTAAAGTGAACAGGAAAACATTAGAAAACTCAGTTGAGACTTGACCTTACGTTGCAGGAGAATATCTAGGCACTGTATGTGGCACAAACCTCCAAATGTAGCCGACTCATTCTGCCAGTTACAATGATTGAACCGCAGCCGGATTAGATTAGCTGGTACTGGAACAGGCCAAAATCAAGAAGATGATCATGGGCGACGCAAGCCTTAGACAACCGGCCCCCCTTCTGAATACCATGTCCTGTACCGAAACAGCTCTGAGGTCGGACCTGTAGAAGGAATAGAATGATTTCCTCTGCACTAGCCCTGCGCACAAATTCGAAGTAAGTTCAACCAGTATAAAAGTGGGATACGTTTTATACTGCTTGGGCTACCTTTAGGGAGAACCTGCACTAATGCTGATTGTGGTCGGGACTTACGAACTCATACCTGTGGTGAGACAGGGCGGGGTGTTGAGAACTGTACCTGCTGCCACTAAGTATTTATTTCCACTGTCGGCTGATAAAAGGCGAGCCGGACCCTGGGCATAAGGCAGGACCAGTGCGAGGACGGCCGAAGACAGCGAGAGCAGATGCTACTCTTGCGGATTGTCTATCTCTATCAGCAACTGTATGACGCGATGTTTGATCACGAGCAGTACTCGCGTAAGGTACCCCGCTCAAGCATGTCGCCTGTGAGGTACTCGAGATGAGCTTTACTCGCGGCACAGTTTTACATGATGGCATGGAGCAATTCGGTGCAGCTGCTATCTGATAAAGCCACAACGCATACTACTGGAGCGAGTACATGCGGCGACTGGGTGCCACTGGGCCTAACGGGGCGAATTCATCGATCCTCTGAGCTCCTATGACGAGCTCTGCTGGATTGCTTTACGCTTTGTGACGTAGAAGGATATGTGTCGAATAACTACATACAAATTTTAAGCAATTATTCAGTCAGTCCCCTGGGTTACAATACGACTTCGCCAGCCTCCGAACATATAAAATCAAGATCCCCGGGTGGCATTATTAAGCTCGTGTCAGGTCGCAATGGCACTCGCCCGATAGCAGGTCAAGGGTCGGTAGGAGAATGGTTGTGTTTGATCTGCTGTCTTTGCCGAACGACTTGACCGAGTATGGCGTTGCAAAAGAGCAAAAGAGCTCGTCGTTGCGTGGACGGCCGAAATAGCGGGGCTGTGCATTGTACGGTCGTGTCTTCCGACGTAGGCCCTTCCCCTTAGCAAGGCTGCATGGCATGGGGGACATTAGCTTTCAGATTCGATTTGTCCTAGGGACTCCGTGACCACGAACGTGGTCCTTTCACTGTTGACTTTAACTTTTGCGCTTTTACACAAAAGTAACTGGCAAAATTTAATCATATTCACTCTTTGCTCCCGCAGTCCCTTTACCGCAGGCCACTTGGACTCCGTGTCTCTTCTAAGCCTTGTAGGTTATGAGTAATGTGTCAGCTTATCATTACTTGTCATGATGCCATCTGATTAACAGCTGAGAGAAATATATTCTCCTTTTAGTCTCAGCAGTGGCTGGGTTTCCTCAAAAGACTCTTCCTCGAAGAATTTGGTGTAACGACCACGGGAGGCTCTCGTGCTTGGCACATACAAAACTTCTAACATTTCGTGCGTACCGTATATGCACGGATGGATGGCCGCTGAGTGAAACATTCGGCTCACCATGGCGCTTGCATCTGGCTGCGCCAATCATCAACCGTGCACATATAATCCCAGCACACGAAGCCATGCAAGAAAAGGTTCTGAATAATTGCTCACGTCATGGGCACATGACATCACCGGTCGCCACAGTAGTAATGGCTATGTCTAGTAAGTAAAAGCTTCGATGAGTTTCATGTCTACAGCGCTCTAATGCCATGGATTTCCAGGACAAAGTGTGGAGGCACCTTCGTGTGCCCGGTGTAGTCGCCCAGGCGAACATTGGGCTGATTCTGTCAACTTTACCTTCTCCCTACCGCTTGATGCGTTGCTTCATGCTGTCTACTTGTGGGCACGTTCGACTGTACTATAAGATCGGCGAGAATTTACGATTGTTTGTACGATCTTTCTGAAGTTAATTTTTTCCTAAAAGCATTATCAACCTTCGTGCGGAAATCGAAACCAACGGAAACAACCGTGGCTTGCTACCTATTTGTAAGAATTCTTCCTGTGTGTTTATATGTAATAGGATATAGAAAGTCTCCCCAGGTATACTTTCACCATTATTTGAACGCTTTTGAGCACAAAACGGACGAAGGGTAGATACTTGAGAGATAATCAGGCAGTCTGTATCTACAGCATCATAACATCATGTTACAGTTACCATACTTCTACTTTCAACTCGAGCTGGTGAAAGAATTTTTATTAACTGTAATAATCCTGTTACGAAAACATCATATACTTGTAAAATTTGTAGTTTGCGTTGCAACTTCCACTACAACATGGAAAATAAAATAAATCTGAAGTCGGATAGAGATTTTACCCAATGTATACTTTTCGAAAATTTGATATGATGTGTATCTATGTCAACCGAGCCGATAATTCGCGTATTATATTCATTGAACGTATGAATGCACAACATACTCTTTGGTATTCTTAATAGATGCCAACATTTTGTGCAGATTCTTTTGCATCTTGTAAAGATATGTCATTCTTACATGTGTCAATATGAAATAATCAATGAGAACTAGTTTTCATTTGGGTAATCTTGAAATTCATTGATGAAAGTGTGAAATTTCAGACATAACTTGTTTCTATGAATTGGAATTATCTAGTAATTAGGATAAATAAATACATTTTGGATACAACTGGAGCCTATGGAGTATTTTTTTCCCTCCTCACAGGTAGAGTAATGAATTCCGCGTTCTTTTAATAGATCCTCCACAGCCTCATGTAGTTCAATGCAAACTTAGAATCTTACTGCAACTACTTCCCTTCACTCTGCCTTCAGAATTCTGATCCAGTTAAGACATGTTGTAGATCACTCCAATATACATACACCAAGGACAACACCGGTAATTTTTACGAGTAAACAAGGATTTTATTCGATGTGATTGATTTGGATATTGCAGTGATATTTTCACATAGTATATGTTGCATAATTATGTTCTTCCGCAATTGTGGAGAAGCTGCCTTGGGCTTTCCATTCTACTCGAAAGCCTAAGTGACACTGCATTGTATACAACTCAGCCGGTTGTCTTCGTACAAGCTCTTCTCGTGAATCTATTCATTTCGATTTTTTCATATATCTTCTATCTACTCTCCTAAAGGCGCATGAGAGTAGTCTTCTTCAAGTCAAGAATAAGACTTGAAAATTTGTGCGTGTCCACTTGCAGTTTTGCATACTCGTTTTCGCTTTCAATCGACTTGTTTGTTTGACACTATCCACCAGACACTTTCACACTACTCATTGAGAACCATGATTAGAAGAATTACTCGTATGAGATGAAGTGATGGATTCAGCATCAGATCGTTGTGGGACGTATGTCTACTGGAAGGGAAATCCCGTTATTAATTTACTACTAGGCATGGATATGAAGATTCAGATCGCATCAACAACCCCATCACAGGAAAGTCTAATCAGACTATTTATATCCGGCAAGTGGTTTTTGATATTTTACAATTTTGTCCGTCGAGTTTGGGGACGAAGATGTTCGGGATCGAGGACCCTATTTCAACAGCAGAGTAAATAAAGATTTTTGTCTTCAGATCTGAGGTACGGACGATTCTTTGGGAATACCACTTTCTTATTCGAGTTTTGGAATTATCCAGTTTATTCTGTAAATCCTTCGACAGGGAGAGTTATTCAAAATGTACATTGGCTGTCGCGAAAGGGGAGCAGTAAGCTTTAGCATATCTCTTGACCCTGCCAGGGCTATTTTTTCTTTTGTATCTTTTGGAAGAATTAGAGGACTCCGGCTGCTTTTTACAGCCTTTTTTAGTGCAGTTCTCAAAAGTCCACCGAGAACTTTTGGAAAAGAAGATTAAGTCCAGTCTGAGATGAAGGAAGTCCCTAACTGCTGAGCTGGTCCGGACTAGCTTAGCCTAAGGAATCCCTTTTAGAGCATTTAATCGTGCCGTCGACAATGCGCTAGTTTTAAGCCATGGGATTGTGGCTTTAGAGGAGTGGTCAGGCCCGCGTCATCTTCGCCGATAAAGCGCCGAAATTCGTAGGAAGATTTGGGCTCCTCCCTACAGCGTCCGGCATTGTCCTACGGACATCGCCCACGGAATTGCACTCCCACAAGTCCTTTTGCCGACAATAATGAGCCCGGTAACATCATCACCGCATCTGTAAGCCATGCAATCTGAGTAAGAAAAAGATCCCTGTCAAAGCGCATGACAGCGTCCCTCCATTCAGGCTGCTCAGGGACGTGCTTGTCCGCCAGTTGTAGAAATACGCCCGCTGTGTCTAGACTGGGGGAGAAACTGGGAAATTTCACCAGCGCAGCAATCATCGGCAACTCATCACCACGTCCCGTGAACAGCCCTGCGCGGCAATCGCCAGTTTTTCCTGCACTATCTTTAGAGGGACAGTTCCACTGCTGTAAAAGAGGGCGGAGCAAGTAAAAGACGATCCGAATTACAAATGAATAAAATGAGGAAGCCCGGACGTGCTTTCTGCACTGGTGTGTAGTTCATTCGGTGCGTGGGTCCATAGCTGTGGGATCTGAAATCCCCGCAGTGTCTCGCGTGTCGAAAAGCATCAAGGGCTCTCGGTCCTTTTTCCGCATCTCTGCCTAAAGCCCTCGACTTCACATCACACATTATCATGGAAGTGCTTGCGCTGCGCTCGCTCTCGCTGCTGCTGCTGCTGTGCAACACCTTAATGTTGTATGGGAGAGCTGTTGCTGACAGATCGTCAGACTGCTTTCACAATCTCACGGGTTCGTTCGCTCCGCTCATCTTCTCGTATCGTCAGTTCTACTTTAATTTGTTTTTGCCTGATGCATGCAGTAAGTGGCCAATTGACTTCTTCGTGATCACATCAACCAAATATTTCCGGATGATGTTGCCCCGAGCTTTTGGTCCTCTTGTCTCCCTTTCCCTTTCGTGATCGAATCAATACTCTGTTCAAGTTCGCCGAACAATGCTGAGGTCCCCCGGCGTCTGCCGTAGACTGTCCAGCATCTACCTCTAGAAAACTCTACGCAAGCTATTTGTGCTATGTTCCCTCCTGAATTACCAGTCCCTGTGTCCAGGCCTCGGAATGGTATTGCGGCGACTAGAGCTCCTCGTGATACCTTTTGCCACGCTACCGAGTAGAAATCGATATCACTTGTGCATGCTTTTCTTTCTTCCGATAATGACTGCTCCTGTTCGTGACATGCCTGTGTACTGTGGCCTGCTACTAGATCGTCTTCTGAACTCTTTTTTACGTAGAGTCTGTGATAGTATCTTCAATCTCCTGTTTCCTGCACACTTTAGGCTTAAATGTGTAACGCTCTCAAGCTTTCAAAGGGTAGCTTGTCAAGGTGTGGCTTGCAGACATCAATCGAATGACTATATTCTTGACGAGCATAATACCATTCAGTTCATGCAAACGAAGATTGCAGGATCCTTAACGTATGCAGCTTTTTGCTTGCTCTGCTAATTGTTTGTGTACAGGACACAAGTCAGCAACAGTCATTCCCTCTTATACTCTTGAAGCGACGCATGCAGCAAAACTCGATGACCAAAATGAAAGGGACCGAATTGTAAGTCGGAAACTTCTCGCCGACATATCCCCTCCAGGAATGTGGACAGCCACCGACGATGAAGACAGGACAAGCAACAAAAGGCGGCTTCTTACTGCTGATGGTAAGAACACACTCCAACAAACAAGTACTGAAATTGCTGTCTCAGCTGATATCCATTATCGCAGAATGTGGCTCTTTCTGCGTCGTCCATGTGAGAAGTCTTAGTTCTAAAGCGAGGGCAACATTTCTTCTCAACTTGCTGTTATACGTGCCTAGAATTAGTGGATCAGGAATCTATGGAAAAAACACCAGGAAAGAGCCTTATTGTCGGAAAATCAGAAAGAAGTTCTTGATGACTTCAATTATACCTGTTTCAGGATGAAAAGTGAAAAAGGTCCTGCAGGTTTTTTCTAGAACAAAGAAAATGTGAGAAGTTTTGACGTACGAGATTTTTTTCTCTTGGTGTCACTCCACTGTGTCTGAAAGCACCCTCAAAACCTGGTGTATCCAAAAGCAGTGGCTGGTTTATGATAGCATAGGTAGAGTTGGGGGCGCTGTCTATTGTTAATAGCACTTCCAGTTAGGAACCCTATGATAGAGCTTTTACTAATGCGTAGTGATTGTCAAGGCCACCAATTCAAGACTACCGGAGTCACCTATGGTACAATTTTTTAAAATCGCGGTCGCAAAATTTAGCAAACCAAAATAAAAATACAGGGACTCTATGTTTGTACACCATCTCCGATTGGAAATCTCTATATAACTGTTCTACCATCAGACATTCTGAAATTTTGCAGAGATTCTCTAAAAAGCCCTATCCGCCGTTTAGACTGTATCAAATGTTCCGAAAGAAGGATATTACTTTGTGTTGGATTGCAGTAATTTCACACACTTAACTGCAATCAGGATCTTGGAACAAAAACTAGAACGTGCTAAGAGGCCTGCTAAATGCCAGCCATGGGAGGCTTCTGAACCATCTCCTAATGGTTACATATCATATTAATTTGTGTGCAGATTTTGACACTTGAGTTGAGTTAAGGTCCTGCATGAAGAACGTTCAGTGCGTTCTTGATGGAACAATCTGAAATGTGATCTCGACAAATTCGTTTGACATTCGGGTAAAAGATTCCACATGGCCATTTACACTTGGACGATTATGGAGGATCTGCATACTGGTTTTGCTTCATTTGTACATAGATGCAAAGACAACGAAGAGCTCAATCTGGAATGATATTGTGAATCGTCGTCGCGGTTGCTGATCGTGTCTTGATAGCATAGCATGTTATTCATTCATCATACTGGCCTAGCCTAGTTCACCATGAACTGAAAGTGTGAGTGACATGGTTGAATTGCATAACCGCTATGTGGAGAGATCAACAATATTCAAATCAAAATTTCATTTAATTAGCTGACAACGGATTGGGACGAGGAATGTGGATGAATCTGTTGCAAAATATGGAAGCACTGTACCTCAAGTTTCTGTAGCCTGCCATTTGATTCAGCTCCCATGCATGAAGACTTCTCCGACGACATGTCCAACACATTTTAAATTTTTTGTTTATGCATAAATTTTTATTTTCTTTCATGTTAGGTATGTAGTTCCCGTCACAGGGTAAAAAGGCTTTACGCTTCTATGCCATGAAGCCTTTTACAACAGATAAAGTGTTCATTCGCCGGCTGTAAATGTGCGTAATGTTATGATCAGTTTAATGAACGTGATTACACTGTCATAGAAGCTAATTCTTCGGAGTTTGTGTTAATCTGGAATACAAGACTCGAGTGATAGAAACTTTCGTTGAAATATGTTCGGAGTGAAGTATGTACAATGTAATAGCTTTGCCATTGCCATTTGCATTTGTCTTTGTTTCTAATCTGAACTGGAATGTACTTACGAGGAACTTTGAGCACGCCACAAGTTGCAGATCGACAGATAGGAAGCTGAGTACGAGTATGCACAACTCCTTTTTTACATTCAATTGCCTCGTGCAGCAGCTGCAGTAATGTTAGAAAGGTTCTGCGGTCTAGTTCTAGAATCTAGCTGTCTGAGTATTTCAAACTTTTTGCCTTTAATCACCGAAAAACTTTTTCTGTACTTACAAGGTTACAATATAAAGGTTTGGAACCGCCAGTATTGTTATGAACTTTGTGCTTCAATCGCTACCTTTGCCATGCTCTATATTTATTTTCTCTGAAGCTGATGTCAACAACGTTTCTGCCGCATGAAATCGTTTACAGATGTAACCTGGGTTAAGCCACATTCCAAGTCTCTTCACTTCTGAGTCCTCCCTTATTCAGGTTCAAAGAATTGAATTTGTGCATCGTCGGCCAGCTTCGATATTTTACCAAGAAGTGCAGAAGTTTTAGCTACAGACGTAATCTATTAGGACAAGAAGTCAAGAATCTGGATATCATACTACACATTTCCGAACAAAAATTGAATAAATTCGATCTACAAACTTGGACATGTACATTAGACATTATTTCTCATCTCAATATTGAGCTCTATATGTTAAAGACGATTTGTTAACAAATGTGATTTATCTGTCAGACCTAGTACTTTGGTAGACCTGACCAATGCTTCAGGTGATAGATTGTGTTTCCTCTTGTGGGGTATATCATCGATGACTGCTTTTAGTCGAAGGGGCAACCGGCGTGTATAAACCCTTCCCAAGTACTGCCGGATGCAGAGCATTTTTGTGTCTGCAAAGGACTGTAGAAAACTGAACCGTTGGTTGAGAAAACAACGAGATGGATAACGATGAATATTCTTACATATCCATGAGATTGTCCAGACTGCAGCTTTCCAGATTTCTCGCATATAATACATATTCCAAAAGCAGGTTCCTTGAACCAGTTAGGACATGTCTATTACATAAGAAAAAGATGAAAATCAGATTTCAGTATTGAGCTACTGGGCCATTCACATGAATGGAAATGAAAACTGACTATCAGAAATATCATTCTCCGGGACTAATCGTTTGCACTCGATTAGTCCGATTACTAGATTAGTCGTTTGCACTGTACATTCGGTTATATGTAGATGACGTGCACCAGAATACTTGCAGGTAAGGTAGTTCTTCAACCCGCAGCACATATTATACTCGCATTGAACAGGGTTAGCACTGAATTTGTTATCTTATATAAAACAAAGAATCTTCATCGTTATAATGTGTATCATCAATTAAACTAGTAATGTATTATGTTATTATATAATTATTTTATTATATATTTGTATCATCTAACATGTAAACTTTAATTTAATTGATCATCTGTAAATTAACTATATATATAAAAAAAATTTGATGTGAATCATAAATTTTATTGATATTAAAAATTTATATTTCATATGTATGTAAAATTACATTTTGATAATTAATGTTACCAAGAGATTTTACAAGAATTAGTTTGTTTCAACAGTGATATGAAGATTTTCTAGTTCAAGATTTAACGTAAATTCTAGTTTTTGATTTTAATCAATCCCAAACTACATAGTTGAAGAATTTTTGTTTTATATCCACATTTTATCTTTGGACTTTTTTATTGAATAAATATCTTCTGTATTCAAAAATTTTGGTATCGTATCAACATTTTTAAGATCAATTCTAATATTATTTTCCTTTATCAATTTTCTATATTAACTTTTATTCAAGATCGATGGTTTAGTAAACATAAAGCACTAGTTGAAATTCTACGACATTTTATGAATATGACATCAGATTAATCAAAAAGCATCTAACGTCACTTTTCACAACACAATTTATCATAAATCACAATATCAAAGTCTAGTTTCAATGCAATCTTGTGAATGCATCTTTCTATCAACTTCCAACAACCTAATAAATCTTACAATTAATCAGACACAATTTGAATCTGAATCTACTACACAATGCATATTTCAAATTTTTTGTTGGTTAAAACATATGAATTAGATACCTCTCAACATCATTGTAATTACCCAAAACGTGTTTGTGGATCTGAAGTTGATTTTCACTTTTGAACCAAATTTAATCCTCTCTTTTTCATGACTTTTTATCTCTCTTGTAACATCATTCTTTTTTCTCATCACATTGAATATTCTTGACATTTTTTCCAAAATTATATTTCAATTTTATAATTTTGAGATATCAAATTATAAAATGTTTAAAAGAGTTTTTGCTAATGTTACATACCATCTGTTTGAGTCTGCTTAAGATTCCTACCTTCTGATATTCATCTGTTGTTGCAGAAACTTGGGCTTTAAATGCTACAAATGGGAGAGTAGTGATACTAGCCTGCTTTACTTTGACAAATGTCAAAGTATTTATCTTGCTAGTACTAACAAACTCAAGACTGCTATGTCTTCGTTCCTTTGATTACACCAAGATCCTATGGAAATTACAACGGTTGAAGACTAGAGTGTAGGTTCTCTCTACAGATTCTTTTTTGCATTTCGAATGAGGAATCTCTTCAGATTCGTTATCCGAATCGATTGACACTTGTCGTGATTGATTTTGGGCTGCTACGTTGACTTCAGCATTGACCATATAATTTTATGTGCAAATTTACCTACCTAGTAGGTAGGTAAATTTTCAACTAAGAGAACTATATACTAATTTTTAAAGTCTTACTTGTTGGCAAAAGATTCAATCACTTGTTTGTTGCATTTAACCTACACGCCAAAAATGCTACTGCCGGCCATTCCCTATTTTACTTTCTAGTATTCAAGGAGATTGTTCCATGTTGATGAACATTAGAAGATGAAAATTTTAGCTTGATAATTATAAAGGTAATTTGACCTATTGTAGCAAAATCAAATGATTTTAATATTGCTAGTTTATCCACAATGAATAACTCTAATATAGATCTGCAACATGAGTCAAAATTTATCACTGAGATCTTAGTTTATCTCAAAACTTACGTAGTACAATTGTGGGAGAAGAGAAATCAGAATGTTGGCGTAGTATCTAGGGATCATGGAAATTATTCTCCAAGAGTAATACATCTTTAGGAAACTTTTTAGTTTTTTGCTTTATTTAAAAGGTCGTTATTTTCAACAAAATTATCTTAACCCTACACAACATGATGGAGTTTGGCATAATCTTAATGCACCAATCACACAACAAATCAAGGACAAAAGAATAGCATTTATTGATAGAATCTTTCATCAATGCAAATCAAAAAAGAAAGAGAATTCTACAAGATACAAGGTGGATATTTTTGCCCATGAAAAGAAGACTGCAAGATTTTTGGTATTATATCTTCATGACGTACATGTTGAATTGGATTACACGGTCAAATGGAGTGAGTCAACCAAGCATACCAAGAAATAAGTTAGAAATGTATAATGTTTTTATTTCAACCTCTCAAACTAAGTATGACGTGATGAAAAATGTAAGAAGTTAGAAGGTCAAAATATCAATTTTCCACTTGATTGTGTTTCATCCAGCCATACAGAAGGAGTTGAAAGTAGGCCTTAGCTCGAATTTTTTGATAGATGATGGTTTTGTTGTCAACGCGATGTTTAAGAGGTTGAGTTGTAAATGAGTCTTTCTAGACTTTATAGTATAATTGTTGGTATGGCCAACAAATAGAAGGTAAGACCACTTTGTGTAATAGACAAGGTTGTGGTGAATGTGAGAAGATCCAAATCTTGCTATCTTTTCAAGTGCTTAAAGAAGTTAGTTATGATTTGATGTAGGAACGTACTTGATTTAGGGCGATGAAAATTATTGATCAATGACACAAGGCTCACCTTTGTATAGATCCAAAGAACCATTGGGTGAAAGTATCATTGACAAGAGGAGAATATTTCACTACCGACTTGGATAGATTAACTAATGAGTACTGAATATTTGAAAGTGAGGAATGAAAATTTTTCAAAAATTGACATGTTTGTGTCAACTTTTGACCAAGAAACGTATGGTAGCTTAGTTTTTCTTTTCTTTCTCGAAATGAGAAGTTTAAGAGATCTGATAGAGTTAATCCCTCATAACTTTTTCATTTTGTAACACCTTGACTTAGTTAGGATCTTGATGAATAGAGCTCAACACGCTTGTTCTAACGATCCCAAGAACTCTTGAAACAAATAAGAGATCACTGAGTTTTGAGTGTCAAAAGTGACTAATATGGATAGGCAAAGGCGCAGAAGAGTGACTTCGGCGGTAGAGTGACTTCGGCGGTACGCGGAAGAAGATTTCCGACGGCGGAAGTCGGCGTTGTCATGAATGTCAAGTGTACAAGCGTGAGAAGCAAAACGGCGGGGCGTGAGGTCGCACGTGGGAAGCAAGCCGAACCCTTCATCGCGGGAACGGCATTCAAGCGGCTTGTGGGTCCCTCGTACCTCGGATTTCGGAGAAGAAATTTCGGCCTTGGAAAAGAGATCTTGCGGGGCTCATATCTTTGCGATGGAGGGTCGGATGGAGCTGAAATTTGGTGAGGCTATTGATCCCAGCCGGCCGCGCATGCCTGCAAATTTTCAGCCTCAGTGCTTTGATCTAAAGCTGTTAAAGACGTTGGCGGCTCAGTGTAGTAGGTTTAGATTGAGATTTAGGGTTAAGATTAGGTTTCGGATTAGGGTTAGGGTCAAATTTAGGTCGTAAAGAAGGCAGCCGCCGACTCCTCATGTGTAGAATTTGTTCGCGGCTCGTACCGTAGCCGATGAAGTAGAGTGTCAGGTAGTTAGGATTTTAGATTGTATAAAGTAGTCCAATGCGTTGACTTTGGAGGATATTTCAGTTTCGGAAGTGTAGTTCAAGAAGTCGTTTTTCTCTGCATGTTTGTGTCTTTCGTTCTGTCACCACGCAAGAGGAGCTATAGCTTGTCAAAGTTACCGCATTTTATAGCTGAAGGCCTTCGTCCAAATGTTCTGTGCTAGCAGATTGACTAGTCAGGATTTAAGCAAGTTCGAACTTACACCTTTGGACGTTTTTGCCTAATTGTACTCCTTCGGAATTTTCCCCCCTAATACCAAAGTGAAGTTTTGTTAACTTCCAAGTAAGCATTGGTTGATTTCAGGTTGAGTGTGTTACGCTGCTTCAGGCGTCTTCGAGGGTAGCCTTCGCAATATTTCTGGAAATGACAGTTGCATGAGAATTCAAACTCGTCAATAGACTGTTAAGTTGTAACACTGGGTCTTTTCTCAACTTAGTCTCTCAGTTCGGATTTCTGTATTCTCTGCGCGTTTTG